AATGCTCTCTGTGTGGCTCTGTTGTGACAGCTGGAAGATGAGATAATTACTGCTCATATCATAGTGGATCAGGAGAAGACACAGACAGAAGCTTAAACCAGAAGGAGGTATGACCTGCAAAGTCCCACATCTTGTCACCTAATCCCACCAGCTGGGTCCTACCGACTCAAGGCAATACCACAAGTTGAAACTCTAGAACGCATAATGTAAACCTGTGAAATATGTTTCAGAATCAAATAAGAACAGTTTGTACTTTAAGGGTGTGTGTCTGTGTGTATGTGTGTGTGTGTGTGTGTGCGCGCGCGTGTGTGTGTGTGTGTGTGTGTGTGTGTGTGACAGCACAAGTTGAGATTTGGACAACTTGCAGGGCCTGTCTTTTCCTTTCACCATATGGGTCCTGGTGCTTGAGCTCCAGCTGTCAGGCTTGGTGGCCAAACCTTTACCCACTGTGTCTTGTTGCTACTCTTCTTTGTTAATTTACATTGGATCCTTGTACATATCTACTCCAGGCAAGCAGCTCTAAGCCTTATGAGTTATTAAGGTAAGTTAAAGTCAGTATCTCAATTAAGGAGAATATATGCATGTAAATACTGTTTACATGATGTGAGATAATGCTCTTGTTCACTGTAAAGATGTGTCACTCATATTGGCTTAACAAAATAATTACTGGCCAATAGCCAGGGAGGAAGTATAAGTGGGGCTACCAGACAAAGAGAATCATGGGAAAAGGAAAGTCAGAGACACAGTCATCAGCCAGATGCAGAGGAATCAAGATGAGAATGCCTTACTGAGAAAAAGTACTAAGTCATGTGGCTAAACAACGATAAGTATTATGGGTTAGTTTTAGTTCTAAGAGCTTGTTAGTAATAAGCCTGAGCAACAGGCCAAACAATTTATAATTAATATAAGCCTCTGTGCTTATATTATTTGGGGCTGAATGGCTGTAGTACCAGGCAGGACAGAAACTTCAGTCTACATCTTTCTTGAATAAAATCCTCAATTGTATAATTAATAACCTAATAGAAAAGTAAAACAGTTCAATCAGTAATTTTTGCCTACTCTAGTACCTTTGTTGAAGGTTCTGAATCTTTACTTTTCAGTTTAACACATATATTAATGAGTACTAGAGAATGACTCATGGAGTGGATGAAATGAGCCATGTCTGACATCTCTGCAATCAGTTAGAGGTTAATATCAGTTGCTCCATAACTATCTTTAACCAAATGAGCCTAGCTGGAAACTTCTACACCATGACGAGGCTTTAGGTTCAGAAGGACTGCTGACCTGTGACACCCGATGAAGGAGCAAATAACAAAGGACTGAGATGGCTCAGTGGGAAAGGCACTTGCCTTGCCACCAAGCCTGACAACCCTAGTTCAGTGCCCCGGACACATGTGGTGAAAGGAGAGAAATGACTCCCACAAGTCCTTGTTTGACCACACACACACACACACACACACACACACACACACACACACACACTCAGACACACACACAGACACACACACACTCAGACACACACACACTCAGACGCACACACACTCAGGCACACACACAGACACACACACTCACATGCGCATGCACACACACAGACACACACACAGACACACATACCTGCATGCGCGCGCGCGCACACACACACACAGACAAACACACTCACACACACCCACACTCGCATGCGCACACACACAGACACAGACACACACACACACTAAATGTCACTTTTCTAAAAAGGAATGAATAACAGAAGAGGTAGTATATAACTGAAATGGAAGAAGGCCACTTCTTCAATAACAAAACACTTTCTGGCCTTCTGGCTGCACACAGGTAACACTCCAAATTGAATAAGAGATCATGTAAATGTCCTAGAGTAAGACATATATTCCTGAGAAAGAAATGTAGACAGTAGCTGCTAGTGACGAGAGTAGAGATGATGGCAGAGCCCAAGAGACTCGCAAAGGTCTATGCTATGAGACAGATGTGAGGAATGCAGTTGACAAATGGCACTCTTTTTTCTTTTGGTGTATTGAGACAGGGTTTCTCCGTGTTACAGCCCTAGCTGTCCCAGAACTCGCTTTGTAGACCAGGCTGGTCTCAAACTCACAGAGAAGATACGCCTGCCTCTGACTTTCCAGTGCTGGCGTTAAAAGTTTCAACCAACATGCCCAGCCCCACAAATTCTTAAGAGAGTGAAATGTTTTTTTTTTCTGGGTAACTGCACGAAAAGAAACCTGTCTAGGAGCAGTGTCCCCAGCAGGTGACTCAGTGGTCCTGGCAGCCTCCATGAGATAGGTTGGCTGCCGGAGAGGAGACTTTCAGACAAATCAGAATGGCTGTCTCAAACAACCTCTCCCTGCTTTTTGGCTGAGCTTCCAAAACCTATGTGGGTATTTCTAGAACTGAAGACAAAATCTTGAAGCTAGAAAGTGAGCCCTAGTCAGGCCCCAACCTACACTCAGAGTTCAATTCACTTTCCTATGTTAAATTGTTTTCATTGTTGTTGTTGTTGTGTTTTGTTTTAAACAGAGTGTTTCTGGTTATTAGTATTGGATGAGCCCTAAAAACATGTACATAGAAGCAGCATTAGATACACTCAGTAGGTCTGTCCCACTTGGGATTAGATAACCTAAGGAGCAATAAATAACTCTGGAGAAAACTGATTCTTCCTCCCTCAGCAGCCATTGACTGGTTGTCGCTCTTTATATAAGGGTAGAACCTATAAAATATCTCTCCTCCCTGTGACAGGTCACCTGGACTGCAGTACATTAATGCAGGTCTTTCTTGTTTAGGCAACCATACTGCTAAAACTGTATATGTACAGCTTTTCTGCCCTGTCTAGAAGACACAATCTAACACCAAATATAAGAAGATTGTTTAAAAACAATAAGAATGAACAACTATCCAATGGAAATGAGCATTGAAAAATGACCAGTGAATTACACTTCAGGCCAAAATTGGCAAGCAACACATGAACATGTGCTTATACACATTCACAATTAAAGGAAGGACAGTATGATCTACTAGGGTTAGGTGGCTGCAGTGGCTCGAGAGCATTCGTCCCTCCAGAATTGGTGATGACATTACAGGCCAGGGTTTTGGAATGATTGATCATAAAAGCCCCACACTCAAAAGAAAAGGTCCATGCCTATAGAGAACAGTCTTCAGAAAGCTGCATGCCCCATTTGGCCTTTGGCATTGTCAACCATACAAGTTCACATGTCCAATGCCATCCGTGAGGAGCAAGCTTTCTCGACACCAAACATGCCAGTGTCTCCCTCCCAGACTTCTCAGCCTGTAGAACTACACCAAGCAAATTTTTATCAATTATAAATTGTCCAGTCTATAGACTACTATTATGATAGCATGAATAGACTTCAATAACAAATATATACACTAGTTGACAAGTGTAAAGTTATTGGTTGAGAATACTAATATACATAAATATATCTGATTATATATAATATTATATTCATAATCCTACTTAAAATGAGATTTTTCATATTTCAGCATCAACAATATCTTGTCACAACTTTAAATTGTGCATAAATAAACATATATGAAATTTTCAAAAACAATTAAATTTTTTTTTATTTTTGGAAACAGGGTTTCTCTGTGTAGCCCTATTTGTCCTGACACTTGATCTGTAGACCAGGAGGTCTCAAAGTCACAGAGATCCACTTGCCTCTTCTGGGATTAAAAGTGTGCACCGCTACCGCCCAGCAATAAATTAAAATCTTTAAAATTGCACATTACCTAGGAGTCCTACAAATATAGGAATGTATATAAAAATAAGCACAAAAAGTTTATTATTTTTTTATAAACCAAGAGAAGAGAATAAATGACAGCAAGGGAAGTAAAGTAAACTTAAGTGGCCATCAGTTGGGGGCTGGGTTGAATGAACTTCAGTAATTAGCAAAGCAACATAATATCAAAAGGCAAGGAAAACCAGAGCAGGCAGCACAGACATTTTACCAAAACCCACCAACAATGAGAACTTTCCAGAAAGTTTTCTATAATGTGATCCCACTTGTGCCAAGCATTCTACAATGCTGTGAATTTATAGAAAACACAGTAAGACCAGGGAATAGTCTTCTAAATGCCAATAACACTACCCTGAGGGAAAATGGGAGGGGGCAATTTTACTTTTTTTTTTTTTTACTATTTACAATTATCTAGTTTTGATTTTCCATGAATCATTACACTGATTTCTTTTTAAAAACTTTAAATCACTGAAAATCAGAAAACGGACATTATGAGTGGTAGATGCAGGGTGACAGTCAATTCTCCCGCAGCACTCCACGCAATGGCTGGCAGAGAGCAGATATCCAGCAGTGCTCTCCCCAGTGGCTAGCAGACGAGAAAAACAAGGACTGACGTCGGAATCAGACAACCATGTGTTTCTCTTCTTACTATAGTATAGCTTCTTCACTCTTTTTAATTTTAAGGAAAGACAGTTCTCAAATTAAAAACTTATTTATCCATGATTTAAAGAAAAATGTAACTCAGTTCAAGCCTTGGTATCGTGTGTGTGTGTGTGTGTGTGTGTGTGTGTGTGTGTGTGTGTGTGTGTGTGTGTGTTTATCCCCTGGGTTCCCCTTGGCCTGAATCCATGTAAGTGTATACCTAAACTCTCTGGAAGAAAGGACCTAAATAAACAGAATTCTTTAGGAAATCTCTACAGAAGCAATTCAAGAGAGAGAGGGAGAGAAAGTCACAGAAAAACTACTCTGTTTCTATATCAGGGTACACAGAGCCTGAAGCAAACACATGACCAGTGACATGCTTGGCCTATCCAGGAGCCAGGAGTCACTGTTCTTTGAAGTAGGCAGTTGTAATCCTGTAGATGGCAATCAACATCATATAGGGTGGTCCTGACTTCAGTGTTTGCCTAGATCAGGAAATAGCAAACTGATTGTGACATCAACTCCAGATGAAGCCAGTGAGTCACTTGTTTGTCTTGGTCAGGCTCATGCCTGGAGTGATGAACTCTCTTGCTCCCAATCTCTTCAGGGCACTAGACACGGCCTTTCCTCACCTGTAAACAGAATCAGGATGTGTCCTGAAGTTCAGCCAAGTGTCTGGCCTTGGGTAAGACACATAGATGGTGAGGGAGCTGGGAGGAGCGTGGAAGGGACAGAGGCAGTAACCTCCACTTGCTGCTGCACATTATGCGAGGTGCCAGTGTCCCTGTGCAGCTCAGGAGAAAAGAAACAGGTCCACCCGTGACAGCCTCAGAAATGCAACTCAGGTTTGTGCTGAGGAAGAGAAAGGGAGGAAATGTAAAAGGAATGGGCAGCAAGCGCAACAACAGATCTCATAGATGTTGGTGCTACAAAGCAGAGAGAGAGAGAAAGACAGTGCTTGGGGACACTTATGAGGAAGACACAGACACACACGCCAGTATAAGTTCAAAGCATCTCTTCGTGTCTCAGTCTCTTTATCCACAAGAGAGGCGTTGATGTATTTACACACGTATTGAAAACAGAAACTCTCTTGAGTATGATTTTTTTCCAGGCATTGACCAGGACACTTAGTAAAACGGAAACGTGGATAATTATCATAACAGACATTGTGGTTCTATCTTGATTTCTAAAATAAAAAAAATCAGGCTTCTAAAAGTAGGAAAATAATTGTCATCTTGAATAACAGTTTCTGGAGAAAGGACAGAGAAGCCATGTGGACAAATGCCAGTGACTTTGGCCAGCGTCAAGGTGATGCCCCATTTCTGTCAGAGAATAGAACACTTGTACTTATGAGGAGAGCCAAAGACTCAATTAGGAAAAAGTAACCTTTGGCATTAGTCACTGATCTGAAAGACTTTTTTTCTGACCTGGTTGAAATGACAAAACAGTAAAGTCATGGGCACCAAGTGATCTTACTTCGGCTGTATGATAGGCAGAGAGCAGAGTGTGACTTAGGGAACATCTTACCTGTTACCTTAAGTACTACTTATCTGCTTAGCATATGAGATTACTTCCTACCACAGTTTAAAAGGTGATGGCTGGGAGAGGCCTGGAGCCTGGAAATGCTGAACAATGGAAAGCCTAGAATCAGTATTTTCTGACCTAGGCCTATGTGTCTCTGTGGAACTAACGAAGGAAATTATCAGGGACATGGCTATATTGAATATTATACTTTATACTATAGCTATATCCCTGGGGGAAATGCACCCATTATGAGGTGGGCTGTCCCCTAAGTCACACTCCTCTCTCTGTCTATCGTGTGGCTGAAGTAAAGATCATTTGGTGCAGATCAAACTTTGAAATCTAGGCTCAGATTCCTCATAATACCTGGTGTGTGTGGAACTGGAAAATACTCTCTCTCTGTTTTTCTCTCTGAACTTTTCCCCTTTCCCCCAGTCAATCCAGGAGCAGCTTCTGTGTTTCAGTGCCTCAGGGAGAAATGGTAGTGAGCAGAAATAAAAGGAGCAAATGAAACTTCCTGAATTATTTCTTTCAAAACTGGCTGAGGAAGAATAGGCTCAAATAAAAAGCATAGAGACTTGAGAAAAGCAGAGAAACAGAGAGGTTTTACCATTAGAGAAATATAGGGATGCCCTGTAAGGTCTTATTTCTGTCTGTTCCACAAATGGCCGCAAGTTTTCCCTTGGGGGTATGAGTCAATGGCTACTGGGACTTCCTGCCTTAAAAAAAAACATTCCAGTGTGCAAAGAATGGCATGGAAAAACTCAGTCCCTGGTCCTGATGGAGCACACTGCTAGGAATAGCAGAAGTTACTAGTCAGGAGTGCAGACTTCATGCTCAGTGCTTTGAGGCAGGTATCTCAGCATATTGACATGGACTCAGTCACAGGTGCCAAAGACTCATTCCTCTGACCTTGATAAAACTCTAGTCAGGCTCTCACACTCTCTTCTCAACAACACTTCAAACCTACCCCTACACAAATATAGACATTGAGCCATGGAGGAGATGAAATGCATATTTCATTTAGAGCAGGGTGCTTAGTTTCTTATCCTCAGTGTCTTGTGCAGCCATGAGTCTCTGTATTCACCACTGTTCACTGGAAAAAAGGGCTTCTCTGATTAAGGCCAAGAGTATAACTTTCTATTGTTATAAATAAAAGTTATTTAGATGGCAGTTTGATGTTATGTCAAGTTGCTAATCTATAGTATTCAGTTCTTTCCTTAGAGGTATGATCTTTTCTGTAGTGTGTGTGTGTGTGTGTGTGTTCACCAGGTTTATAGTGCAACAATACTGTTAGACATAAATTCTTCCCTGCAGAATGGATCTCAAATCCAATAAGAGAATAGTTTGTTGCACTCATGACAATCTAGCCAGTAAATTGGCCTTAGGATTCACAGCTGGGCAAGACCATTGATTCCTTTTATGCAAAGTCTCTCCTTAAAGAGACTTCACAGCACCTGTGAGGACTATTGAACAATAGCCAGGAGGGAAAAAGTTCCCGACTCACTTCCAGCTTTATGTATTGATAGAATCAGAGTATGTGATGTCTTCAACAATAGAGTCTTAACATCTCATTCTAGTGGGTAACCAAGATGATTAGCAAGAGTCTGTGTTTGGGTACCTCTTGAATTGACATGTAGGTATCCTATTTCTGTCACTGGGGCTTTTGTCAAACAACAAAATTATTCCATTAAAAACTATAGATTCTCAATGTCAGCATTTACAACACACACACACACACTCACACTCACATGCACATACACACACTTGCACACATACCTTAAATACTACCACAATTTCTAATAATTCAAAGCTATGTTTCTAGAACGATAGTCCACTTCACCACATTAAATTCCAATCTACAGAAACTCACAGCTGCCAAGAGAATTTGCTGTGTTCTCCAGAAAACATCTAAAGATGTTTCCTAATATTATTTGGGGGACAAAAGGTTGACTTCCTCAGATGCTGGTTAGCAAGGTCAAAGAGACTAAACACATTGACAATACTCATTCCTGATTCTCACCACTTGTATTTTGGGTCCCTCTGGTCCTCACTTCATTTTTCCTTCCAAGTCCCCATTACCTCTACATGACATTCAGCTTGTTCCCCTCCCCTGCTGTCTCCTCCATGACACTATTTTTCCCATTACTGGTAAACTGTTTGCTACTTTTGTGTCTAGCTTTCCTTACCTCTGACAGAGGTGTTCTAGGAATGACTTTGGTGAAGTGGATTACCTCACCAACCTGGAAGATGAAAAGAATTATATTAGAAACTGAGTTGGTTATCATCAAACAAGTGCATGCGTTTTTTTTTTGTTCATTTGTTTGGTTTTTTTTTTTACCACAGTTATTTCTGTGGGCTGAGATGCATACCCCAGACCTAAAGAGAAAATGGATACTAGTGTTACTATTTAGCTAGTGAAACTATTCTAAAGAGGACAGTTTAATGGGAAACAACTATACTATGCAAATCAAACAAAAGTCATTGATTTCTTCTATCCAAGGTATAGCACTGTTCCTAAGTCAGGCTGGTGAAAAACAGTGTAAGTCCCTCATGTATGATAGCAGAGAACTCAAAGACCCACTAAGTGAGCACATACATGCATGCTCCCATTGAAGAAAATTCCATTCTGATTAGTGGGATCCATGTCTTTAGACAGCACCTGGGACTGAATCTCCAGTAAGAGACACTGATGGTGTTCAGGGCTTTCCCTCTAAAGGGGAATGTTATATTCTGATAGTGTCAGATTGAATTCCAGAGGACTGTCAAGCCATGTGAAGACTGGTATGTCACATATTTAGAAAGTACCATCTGATATCTTAGAAATTATCTTGTATTATTAGAAGGGATCCTTGAGATACTTTTTTAAAATATAGTCAGGACCTTTCCTCCTCAGAGAAAGCCTTCAGATTCAAGGATAAAGATTCACTCCATCTACCAACATAATCTTAAAAAGGTCTATGTTCAGCCCATCCAATCCATAGAAGAACACCTTAGAACTTAAAGGATGTATGCCTTAATATTAAGAAGTTTGTCTTTGAAAGAGTAAGTTGAGAATTAATCCATTTCTGAAAATTCTACCTTTTACAAACACACCCATTTCAACTTTCCTAAATTATCAAATTTAGTGTCTTTACAAAAAAAAATGTTCTTCCCTGGACAATAGAAGAACTAAATGACTTTCAATTAAATAATAAGCAGGGTCATTAATTATTCCTTTTATTACAATATTTTAATTTTTAAAAATTCTTTGAAAATTTTATATAAGGTAAAATGATTATATATAACATATATATATATATATATATATATATATATATATATAATCCCTCCATTTCCCCTTCAAATTCCCTATGGAACCCACTATCACATCTCCCTCTTAATTTCATGTTTTCCTTTTAAATTTGCATTATTAGATTTTTTTTTAATTCAGAGTCCAATTAGTGTTGTCCATATGTGCATGGCCATGGGGTCATCCACTAGGTCACACAGAGCCTACCAGTGGCTATACTCACAAAGAAAAGTGTGATCAGCTGCCAATATCTCTTCAGCAAGAGCCACTCCCAGACCCATGCTGGAATTTTTGACCCACTTGACCTTGTGCAGATTGTGTGTAGGTAACCACAGTTACTGTGAGTTCATCGGTGTGACAGTTATATCATGTCCAGAGGAGAGCATTTCAGAGCATTCCTCCACATCCTCTGGCTTTTACATTCTTATTCTTCTTTTTTCCACCATGTTCCCTGAGCCTTGGAGGGCATGGGGTCATCACAGGATATCTCCTCTATGGCAGAGCATTCACAGTCACTTATTCTCAGGGCTTTGAACAGTAGTGACATTAATTATTACCATTCTCTCTCTCTCTCTCTCTCTCTCTCTCTCTCTCACACACACACACACACATACACTCATACACATTCACATGCATTCACACACACATGGACACAGACTGGTACATAGAAAGGAGAAGGGAGGAACCTGAGTCCTGTTGTGGAGGAAATAACCATTTTTGTGGAAGATACATTTTTTATGCATTAATTTCATTTCCAGTTTTTCAACTCTTCTGGGTTTTGTGGTCATGTTGTTCCCAAAATGCCCTTGAAACTGAGATAATTATATTAGGAAAAAATTACTTCGAAGCATGTTGAAATAGTGCATATAAGC